GGAGAGAAAAGGGAAGAAGGGTGCTGGGAGTAGAAAGAGAGAGAGAGAGAGAGAGAGAGAGAGAGAGAGAGAGAGAGAGAGAGAGAGAAGGGAAGAAATGAAGGGAGGTAGGGAGGGGGAGCAGAGGAGTCAGTGTTGATAGTGGCACAAAACATGTGTTAATGGTGTAAGTGTTGACAGTAGCATCCCAGCTGTTTACATCCATTCATTCTCGACTGTGAGAAAACACCTGCATGACCTTCATGTATGTTATTGTTACACACATGTTTTCTTGATCCCCACGTATGTGATGAGACGATACCAAAAATTTGACCCATACCGATACTCAGTTTTCGGCCGATACCGATTCTTTTCCGATATTTTTTTTTTCTAAATTATAATGAGTATATTCAGTATTTATATTTTAAATGAATTTCTTTTGAGACGATGATATTGTTGTTTATTATTTGGTGTGTTGCATTAGTTACTGGTTGTCAAAGGCACTTGTCGATAGCGTGTGTGTCTGTGTTTGTCTGTGTTGTGTTTGTGTGTCTGTGACTCGATCCGTACAACCACAACTAGGTGAGTACACACACACACAGTGAAGAGGCGGGTCCAGGAGCTGTGACTCGACCCCTGCAACCACAACTAGGTGAGTACACACACACACACACTTTAACATGTAATAATATCTCTTCTGGACTAATTGATTAATGAGCTAATGTTGACATTGGCTGGAGGTGAGGGTGAGTGGAAGAGTAAGCGGGAGAGAGAGAGAGAGAGAGAGGAGAGAGAGAGAGAGAGAGAGAGAGAGAGAGAGAGAGCAAGATAACGAGAACTTGTCAACAAATGTTTCTTTCAAACCTTCCTCTAGTGCTTGTAGCTGACTCCAGGCATGCACACACGACCATCACCATCCCTACGCTTCTCACTGACAATTCTTCCTCCTCTTCCTCATCCTCCTCCCCCTCCTCCTTTTCCTTCTCTTCCCCCTCCTTCCTCCTTCTCTTTCTTCCCTTGATGATAATTGCTTCTTGCCCCTCTCCCTCTCTTCCTCACTCACTCCTCCCCCTCTCCTATACAAACTCCACTTGTCTTGTTCTCCGTTGATAGTAACTCACCCCCAACCTTCCACACACCTTAAGTCCCACCCCTATCACCCTCATCTCCTCCCCCTCTATACACTTCCTGGCATCCAGTGTTATACTGTGTGGCAGGTACATCGTGTGGTCGGTACACCATGTAGTAGATATACCGTGTGGCAGGTATACCCTATGGTAAGTACGCCGTGTGGCAGGTGCTTTCACGCTGATTCCTTACTCTAACGATAGTTCTGTGTCCGCTTAACACTTCCCCTCCCCCGTTTCGGTACAAATTGGGTCGTCAACGTTTGTCTCTGCTAAAATCAGGTCGTCAACGCAGACAGCCAAATTCATCCGCCTTTGAAGATATTATTGAGATCTTGAAGCCCATAATATTACTACGGCCAGAAGACCAAGTCGAGTTAGGCAGTCTGGCCTCTCGGGCGGGAGACTGAATCTTCCATCACTCTTTGCTCTGAAGAACACACGCGGATTAAGCGCTTCATATGAACAAGTTATGCCACTGTGCAACTGAGCGGTCAGGAATAACTGCGGTGGCTGTGTCGTATCGTGTCGTGTTGAAGGGCAAAGTGAAATATTTGAGTCATTTGTTGTGTATGGTGACGAAGAGAAAGAAAAGGCACAATACAGTGGTACAATACACAGATAACCCCTTCACTTAGAAAGGGAAGCTTGGACCATTATCAAGACTCGACTCGACTCACGAAATCGTAATGACACGATTGCGAACAAACCATACCCCGGCCGGGATTGAACCCGCGGTCAGAGAGTTTCAAAACTCCAGCCGGCATAAAGCCTCTCTCTCCTCTGTACGGGTTATTGTGTTGTGTATGGTGACACAGCTAACGACTTTCTGTCTGCGGTTTAGCTTCTTGTCATTCATACCATATATAGCAGTACACTAACTAGCCTCCTGTCATTCACACCGTGTATAGCTATACACTATCTGTTATTCAAACCATACCACGGGTGGGCATAGAACCCGCGATCAGTCATAAAACTCCAGACCGACGCGGGTTCTAACCCCACCCGTGGTATAGTTTGTTTGCAATCGTGTCATTACGATTTCGTGAGTCATTTCTGTTATTCACACCATGTATAGCGGTGCATTAACTATCTTCCTGTCATTCACACAATCTATACCGATATATTAACTACCTATCATTCACACCATGTATAACGATATATTAACTCTGTCATTCACACCACGTAAACTAGCTTTCTGTCGTTCACACCGTTTCTCTGCTCGTAAATACAGTTATATGTGGTATACCCCATAACACATAGTTATGTGATGGGTACTGGAAAAATACAATTGTAAACTGGTGTTTGGAACTTAAGTGTTTTATTTATACATAGGGAGCTTGTTTGTGCCATGATCAGCAGACGGAGGATCGAACCGCCACCACTCTTTGCTCTGAGTGACCTTACACACGGGTTTAGCTCCTCGCTTAAAGTTTAAGCGAGTAATATTCTTAGTTTAAAAAGACACGTGAGTAAACAACTCTGAAAGTTGCCAAGTGAACAGTTCTTTGTTCAAGAATTTAAACAGAAACACTGACAAACAAATTTAAGTGTAGCTGTTGTCGAAGAAAAAACTAATTCGATAAAGAATATGAATGCAAATATCACTGGTATACACCTTGTTAAGTAATCAAGGTCCCAGGACCGAAGCGTTTTCTATGTCCTAGGGGAGGGGGCACGCTTTGATTCTGGTCAAGGGCTCTTGATTTACTCAAACTTTATCTCCCATTCCCCAGGCGCTATGATCCTTACTGGCTTAGAATATCTCCAGGGTATAATAATTTATTTTATTAACGAGTGTCAAAGGACATTACTTTTTGTTACTGATTTTTGGCCGGGTTCAGAATGTTTTCCTTTAAGGCAGAGCTGTTAAACCGCTGGTTTTAACAGAAGTCCACTGTATAATATTCTGCAGTGGATTCCTGTTCTTTGATGAGACATTTTGCTTTAAAAACCGCTCGACCTCTTGCTATTTATTTAATATTTGGCTGTTGCAATGCTTAGTGCTTTTAGTAATTCTTAAACCTAGGCATCATCTCACGTGAGTTTGTGCTACATTAACCATAGTAGTGTGAAGGTGACCTCTGTTGTGAAGGTGACCTCCGTTGTCTGTTAAGTCTGATTTCGTAATCATGCTGATGACACAAAACACTTAACATCTCCAAAATTTCTGGCATTGCTCTAACCCCACTCAGCTTTGAAGAAGCCATTAATTTTATTCCACTGCACTCTCTCATCCAGGCTCAGATTGCTGTAGGTAGGTAGATTCGCCGGTATAATCGCCCGGCCCGGGTCTTTTCCAAGAGGTAGCCCGGCCTTGGCTCTCTTTTGCGGGAGTGTCTCTGACCAATGTCTGCCATGGAAAGAGGTACAAGTACCTTCTCGTCTTCTGCGACCAATGTCCCCAGGCCTAGTCCCATTCCCCACTCCACGGGGCTCGGAGAGAGAAACTAAGCACCTTGGGGTGCCACAAACCCCGCCCACACTGGGGTCAACGGGTGTGGCAGCTGCATAGCAGCAGATGATGTCAGGAGGTGCAAAGGCAGGAAGCACTACAGGATCCTTTTAGAGCCACACCCCAGCTTTGGACCGAAGTCCGAGCGCTGGGGAGCTCAGGAATGCCTCTTGCTGTGAGTGTTGTTGTCGCTGCTGCTTCACTTGTCTGTTGCACTCTCTGTCAGACTGCTGGAACTTCATATTCACCAAAACTGCAAAAAAAACTATTACGTACTTTAAATGTCCTATGGAGACCAATCTAAACACAAAGGTCATCCTTCAGTTATTAAAAACCACTGTCGTAGCCTCACTCCACAAAGGTGGCAAAAAAAACATGTAAAATACCTTAGATAGCACTGACGTCCTACATTATCACAACCATTAAAAGAAATTTAAGTAAGATTACTAAATACATGGACTCAGAACAGTTGCACAACCCAAGGCAGCAAATGTTTAGAACAGAGTAATGTGTCTAACCGCGTGCTTTGAGGACAGAAGGTCAAGCCTCCACCACTCCTAGTGCGTTGTTTTCATACTATCCTAGCACCCTTACATGGAATTCAGATTAAGAATTAAATTTAACAGAACGTCTTGCTGCTTAGGCATTTTAGGTTTACTCACAGTCCATCGAGACAGTGTCTCCTGACACGGGTCCCAGTCATACAGACGACCCATCAGATCAACTGAAATACAAAAGGAAGAGCTCCGTCAGGAGCTGAAACTGAGTCTCCCGTGTTAAGGCGACCGTGCTGACCTCTGAGCTATATATCTGTATTTACCATATACATACAGGCATTTGTATATGGATGTATATATCCATGTTAATGAGTTTATTGCCAAATATTTTTATCTGAGAATTCTGAAATGATGATACTCCTGTTGATGTTCATTTGTTATATTTTCTCTTTACAGTTTCACGATTCGTTTAACTAACCATTAAGACAGCATCTGCCAATGAAACCACGTCTTATAGTGGTACTTGTTTGGTAGTGTTATTGTGGTAGGTGTATTTTTTTTAGTGGTGTTTGTGGTCGTGTTCAAAGTGGTGGTTATGGTCGTGTTTTTAGCAGTGGTTGTGGTAGTGGTGTTTTAGTTAAAGGATTCAATACGATGAAGGGTTTAATACACTGTTTAATAGTTTCTTCAAGGTTCAACACTCACTTTAATGGTTATTTATGGGGTCAACTCAAAATCCACTTCATTGTTTAAAAGTTCTGCATTCACTTTAATGGAATATTAAGATTCAGTATTCAGCTTAGAGACTGTTAGACACTCAGTTTAATGACTGTTAGACACTCATTTTAATAGTTTAATAGCTCTTCCCTCAGTTGAATGGTTAACGAGGTGTTCAACTATCACTAGGGAATAAATAAAAGAAAAACAATAAGAGAGGTAAGTTTTTATTAACACTTAAGGCAGTTAGTAACGCGATAGTCGGGCTAACATTAGCTATCTTTAGTAGGTAAAGACAGTGTTGAGGAGGTCAGCCTCGCCAGCACGAGTAGAAAATAGTCGTCATTTGTGGGATTACAACAAGTATCCAGTGATAGCGCCAGTCACGAGAACACAGGTGCCAAATCAGCCGGAGATTGAGGACGAGGATCGAGACTCAACTATTGTGATCCCGCTTGGTTTTTTTCCCTCACTTTCCTCGGGTGAAATGAAGGGGTCAGACGCCAACACGCGATCTTCGTCACCTCCTTCACCACACGATTACAAAGGCATTTGTCCCTCTGATTGTTTTCGTCTTGGCCTCGTTACATATTTTACACGGAGTTAAACAACTGCAGATTTGGCACCAGAGTCAGTTCTCAATGCACACTGTGTCCTGTGTATGGCACTCGCATATATTATGACACAAGCCTGTGAAACCGCATCGCCACTGGAGCTCCAGAGCTCCACAGTCCTACCAAGATATTTTATGTGAATAAAAAATCACAATGCCTTGACAGGAGCAATTTAGAACTAGCCTACAAATTAGAAATGAAAACTGGACGAAGCTTCGTCTGTCTTGGAGCATTTTTATGTCTCCAGTGCAAATAGTACAGGACGGGTCGAAATGCCGTTCAGTTTTCCTGTCAAATTTGTGGATTAGTCGTGAAAGGATTTAGCTGGACTTCCCGGCTGTGTCCTTAGCACGACGCATCTCAACAGCTTACACGGTTACCAAACACGTTTATCTTGATAATTTCACAACAACGTGAAAACAAACGAGAGGAGAACCACTTAAGACTCAGAGCCAGTATCACTGTGCCTCGTCTTGCTCCAGATGACGTGTCGTGTGGCACACTGATGCTGGTTTGTGTCTTTGTAAATAGCGGTTTTGCTCTACGTAGAATGGCAGGTGATGCCGACAACTAAGGCATAGAGACGCTTTGTACAGAGCAAATTTTTATCATAGACGACGTTTTGTTCTGGACAGAGTTTTTCTGAAGCTCTAGCCAGAGCCAAACATAGATTACAGTAAAGTTTTGGTCTGCATCAAGCGTCTTCAGGCCATACAACAGTTACGCTGCCATCACATTGTAATGTAAATGAATACATTGTGCAACTAATAAATCATTCCATTGTTTATAAGTAGAGAAGGATATGACCTGAGTTGCCACTGCCATCTAGCGGGAGGCTGCAGCAGCGAGCCTGCAGTTGCACACTAACACACACACACACACACACACAAACACACAAGTTAAGTAAGCACCTTCTCTCAACCTCTCCGAGAGTATCATCCTTTTTAAAAGGGGAGTGTTGTCTTGTTGCCGGGTAAGGGGCTCTTGGTGAGGGGAATTGGAGTTACCCTTCTGTTCCTCCGATCGGACCTAACTGCCTGCCATTCCCCAGGCCTCTGTATGGCTCCTGTGGGTGTAGCGCTGTGCTTCCTCTCCCTGTGCTGTCTGTAGGTTGCAGGGCGTACGGATGACAGGAAGAAACAACATGTAGCAGCTCAAGCATTCATTGAGACAACGTTTCGCCCTTACAGTAGGGGGGGAGAGGGGAACGCTTTTCCAATGAAGTCGTGTTCTTCTATACATCTGTTTGTTTCTCAGGTTTCAGTAAGCGGAGTCTCTGTTGACTAGAACTTTTTGTATAGAACGAATATTGCAGCTAATTTATGTCACCAGTGCTCTAGGATACTTTTATATCCAGACTTTCCTGTCCTGTTATTCCATAATCGTCCAGGATCAACACAAACTTTGTCTAGTTTCAAGTTCTAATTTGTGGGTTAATTGTGACTTTTCTTCCTGTCTGTCGAGATCATCGAGATTGAATCACACACACACACACACACACAAACACACACACACACACACACACACACACACACACACACACACACACACACACACACACACACACACACACACACACACACAGCTGAGGGTCACTGGGCCTAAACAGAAGGTCGAAATGGAGTAGTAAAATTTTTTTATTTTTATTCACATGAAGACCAATCACAAGTATTAAAGTAGCCCACACATCCTCTCTTAATTGATCTTGCTTTATCCTGTCTTTTTGCCTCTCTAAAATATTACCCAAACACAGTCTCTTTTTACTTGCTTACTCTCTTCGCTCTTCTCAGAAATAATTTCCCAGTATTTGGCTTCTGTCACTTTCTCACAGAAGTCACAGTGGCTGCTAGATATGAATAACAGAGATTTAGATAATCGTCCATTGCACGAATGTGACGACTCGCTGGAACTAAGATTCCAGCGGATTTGTCCATTACGTATTCTGCATCAAGACCCCTGCGTATGTTAACCCGCACTGTATCACGACCCAAGAGTTTTACGAACTCTGTTCCAGGAACACAACTTCCTCCCACCTAGTATGGAAGGGATTTTATCTCCTCTGCGATCATAGGATTTATACACATTAGTCTTATATAGAGAATAAAATGACTAAATTATCCTACACTACATCGCTTTTGGAGATTTAGGACACATATGGTAGTGTTGACGTATAATATAGCCCTCGTTATGTACATTAATTAAATGCTATGCAACATATATCTTCTGTTAATTTGTCAGTAAAGTTTACACACTAAATAAGAATAACAGGTCTGATATCAAATGTTCTCAGACCTATTGATTGGTCTGCTATATATATTTACAAATATGATTTCCCTACTTGCCATTAGTATGCAAATTGTGCATGTGCAGACTAGCCTCACACTAAGAGACAACATACAGTTGAATGAATGCTTTTGTACAGAAATACATTTATTTACATGACAGAGTACTATTTTACACTATATATGAATTTTATTTAATAAAAATCCTAATTACGTACGAGAGTCGTAGCCCTGGTTTTCTTACCATGACTGATTAAGAACAGTGAGTTGTCTCGCGTTTGTGGACGGAGGCTCGATCCTCCGCCACTGATTATGCTGAATGATCCACGTGGGTTTAGCTCTTCACATAATGTATAACACTGATTGACGCGAGGGAATCGCAAAATGAAACTCTGACGGTCAGTATACAAGAGTCCGCAACTTCTTCGCCAGTTACACTATATCACATAATTAGAGACCAGTCGTTTATGCTGCATCATCTTACGTCTCTTCCTTCTGTTTTGGCTGCAACCTGATTGGTTGAAAGGCGCCTGCCGTTGAGAGGAAATGGCGATCTGTGATTGGTCCCATTGGAGACAGAGTAAAAGGCCGCTTCGTCATTGGTTGCATGGATGAGTAACCAAAGACGTGTCGCTCAGGGATTGGTCGGATTGGTGTGACATAGTGGTCAGAAGGTGACGCAGGTCTCTTGTGAGAGGACACGAGAGAGGCGATGGTGAGAGCTGGGGCCAGAGCCTGAAAAGAGCTCGAGATACTGGGCGTCTCGGAGAGCAGGGAAGTCGAGCTCTCTGGGTCGTCCTTGAGGTTAGGCGATGCTCGACTTTGATCTTTTGCCTGGTTCTTCGAAGGTGAGGAAAGCATTGGAGGCCGAGGAGAGCCCGGAGGTTTGGAGGTAAGGGAAAGAGGAAGACTACTCGAAGTCGCGTGAATATCTGAAGATGTCGCTGTGTGAGGAACAGAGGTAGGAGGCGGAGGCGGAGATCGAGCGTCCAATGACACCTCATCTTCGGAGATGTCGTCCTCGAAGGTATTAGGAGAACCGGGGTTTATGAGGTCCTCCTCGTCGTCATCGTCAAGTGGAGACCGGGTGTCTGTTTCTCGTCGAGAAGCTGGAATCCCCGTCGCCCCGAACTGGTGCATCCTGAAAGAGAGACAAAGCGTTATCGTTAATGTTCGCAAAGATAGTAATACAACATCGTCATTCATCACAGTCATATCTTTAACGGAAAATATCATAACTATTACTGAAACACCTTATCACTTTCTACTTTGCTGCGTCCTATACGAGCGTCAACAGTGCAAGCAAATGTTGCCAGCTGCTCAATCCAAGCTTAATATTCAACAATAATTGTCAATTCTAATATTGTCATTTTATTTACCTCGGGATATCATCAATGTTTTGCTATCACCTTTACTTACAAAGGAATATTCTTATTGTTCTTTGGTGTCAATTTTATATCACCACTTTTTCCAGTCAACCGATAAAATATATATGGGATTGGGTTTTTGACCTAGTGGATTTTAGAGGTGAGGGGACGATCAACCGGCCTCTAATGATAACCAAACATAGACTCCAAGCTAACACAATTAATGGCTGGAGCCATTTTGATCAAACTATTAGAGTTGGCCTGGTGGGGGGGGGGGAACCACCGACCTTTAAAGAGGAAGGTGAAAACAAATGAGGAAAAAAAAAATCTCGATTATAAACTAATTGTACCAATAAGTATACAAGTAGAGTTTTAATTGGCAGTTCTTGATACTTGTGAAGGGCTCTTGATTCAAGGAATTAAAGCAGCCGTTCCCTTTCCTTGGATCAAACCGTATTATGTTCCCTTCCCCAGGAACTGTATAACCCCTCTGGCTTTAACGCGTCCCCATGACAACACAAGACTGAAACAGCAACTTAGGTGTGTACACACTGAGACGGGTGAAGACACTGAATGAACAGCAAGGGGAAGTAGTGGGGGGAAGGAGGCAGCATTTGACTCTCTATATACTACAATGAACACTTTCCTTACTATCTGTCACTTCTCTTCCCGTGCGTCACTTTTCTCACTATCTAGAAAATCCTTGTTTCTTAAGATGTACCAGAGCTTTATAAAGAGAAGACTCCATAACGGTAGGAATAGCTTCACGTCAGATTGCCCAGCAGGTGTGTGAGTAACAGTAATCTCATTCTTTGTGGCCAGCAGATGTGTTTAACAGTCTTTCCAGTCTTTGGCCCAGCATGTGTGTTTAACAAACTTCCCATTCTTTGTGTCTTAAATCATCCCTTAGTCTTCGAATACTTCTACGTCACCCGCCTTGACTACTTTCCCACACCCTATTTTCGTTTGCCTCGATTTTCCTTCATTTTCTGTCTCCCATCTCTTTCTCGCACCCTTGTTCCCTCTCACTGTCAGTGCTCCTTCCTTCCTCATTCCTGATTCAGCCTCCCATGCTCGCCACCCACCTTACCATGGGTCCTTGCCACCACCTACTTCACCTTGGGTCCTCCTAACCACCACCCACTTCACCTTGGGTCCTCCTTACTACCACCCACTTCACCTTGGGTCCCCTGGTTGAACAACCCAGCCAGCAGGTGGCGGTGGCTGCATCATAAATATTAGAGCATAGCTGCATGTACCCATCCTGGCGATGCTTCACCTCTGTTGACCCAAGACGCAGACACAAAAAGTACAAACATAACCTGTCATCGACGGCGAATGTTGAGCAAATAGGTAAGTCTTCACCACCGCCTCGATCCTCCATCAGCCATTATCTACGACATCCCTTGAGAAGAAAGGCTGAAAGAGAGAGAGAGAGAGAGAGAGAGAGTGAGAGAGAGAGAGAGAGAGAGAGAGAGAGAGAGAGAGAGAGAGAGAGAGAGAGAGAGAGAGAGAGAGAGAGAGAGATAGAGAGGTGAAAGAAAAGGAGACAGAATACGCCACTCTTATGAGTCAGGTCGCCATTCTCTCTAGCCCCTTTTTCTTTTCCCCCCTCCTCCCTTTCCCCGCCCCTTTCGCCCTTCTGACAACGTACATTTTAGCGGTCGATGGTAATATTTGCCTAAGTAATTCGTGCGTTCTAGCGGACAGGTCAGGTACCGCCACAGAGTGCCGGGGATAATGGATTCCCTGTTGTTGGTAGACGAACGATATGATAATGGATTCTCTCAGCCAGTGAGGCTAGACGAGTGCTTCCATGGTGGATGCTATGGCGCAAAATAGATCAGGACCTGATTGTTTGTTGTTGCACGACGTGTTATATCAGTCGGTTCCTGAGTTTTGTGTGTTGGTTAGCACTCTATGTTGTTACTAGACTACCTGTGTTGTTTAACTATGTTGTTACTAGACTACCTGTGTTGTTTAACTATGTTGTTACTAGACTATTTCTGTTGTTTAACTATGTTGTTACTAGACTACCTGTGTTGTTTAACTATGTTGTTACTAGACTACCTGTGTTGTTTAACTATGTTGTTACTAGACTATTTCTGTTGTTTAACTATGTTGTTACTAGACTACCTGTGTTGTTTAACTATGTTGTTACTAGACTACTTGTGTTGTTTAACTATGTTATTACTAGACTATTTCTGTTGTTTAACTATGTTGTTACTAGACTACTTGTGTTGTTTAACTATCTATGGTGTTACTAGACTACCTATGTTTTGTAACACTCTAGTATAGTGTTACTAGACGACTCATGTGGGTGTGGAGTGAACTGGGATCCTTCTAATTTATGTATCTCGGCCATTTACTGCAGGTAAATGTCATCAACCAGCCTGACTTTGTTTGTGTGATTTCTAAGTTACGTTACGAGGAGAGTACTTTACATTCTCGAAAAATAGATATGATCTTTTGGAGTAACCATTACCATCGGAGATCCGCAATTATTTTTTTTCCATGGAGAGAGAGATTGTAAGGTCATATATAGAGGTCAAAGGTCACACCTAAAGGTCGAAAATCACACCTAGTCAGAGGTCAGACCCAGAGGTCGAAAGTCACATCTAAAGGTCGAAGATCACTCCTAGTCAGAGGTCAGATCCAGGGGTCGAAGGTCACACCTAAAGGTCGAAAATCACACTTAGTCAGAGGTCAGACCCAGAGGTCGAAGGTCACACCTAAAGGTCGAAAATCACACCTAGTCAGAGGTCAGACCCAGAGGTCGAAGGTCACGCCTAAAAGTCGAAGATCACACCTAAAGATCGAAGATCACACCTAGTCAGAGGTCAGACCCAGGGGTCGAAGGTCACACCTAAAGGTCGAAGATCACACCTAGTCAGAAGTCAGACCCAGAGGTCGAAGGTCACACCTAATGGTCAAAGATCACACCTAGTCAGAAGTCAGACCCAGAGGTCGAAGGTCACACCTAAAGGTCGAAGATCACACCTAGTCAGAGGTCAGACCCAGAGGTCGAAGGTCACACCTAAAGGTCGAAGATCACACCTAGTCAGAGGTCAGATCCAGGGGTCGAAGGTCACACCTAAAGGTCTAAGATCACACCTAGTCAGAGGTCAGACCCAGAGGTCGAAGGTCACACCTAAAGGTCGAAGATCACACCTAGTCAGAGGTCAGACCCAGGGGTCGAAGGTCACACCTAAAGGTCGAAGATCACACCTAGTCAGAAGTCAGACCCAGAGGTCGAAGGTCACACCAAATGGTCAAAGATCACACCTAGTCAGAAATCAGACCCAGAGGTCGAAGGTCACACCTAAAGGTCGAAGATCACACCTAGTCAGAGGTCAGACCCAGAGGTCGAAGGTCACACCTGAAGGTCGAAGATCACACCTAGTCAGAGGTCAGACCCAGAGGTCGAAAGTCACATCTAAAGGTCGAAGATAACACCTAGTCAGAGGTCAGACCCAGAGGTCGAAGGTCACATCTTAGTAAAGGTCGAAGATAACACCTAGTCAGAGGTCAGACCCAGAGGTCGAAGGTCACATCTAGAGGTCAGAGGTCACATTGGGGGTCAAAGGTCACACGTAGTCAGGGGTCAGACTGCTGGGTAGGGCTTCAGGATTCACTGCACCTGTAACTACACAAGGTTCCAGTTAATCCCTGTTGAGTCTAACAATAGACAGTATATTGTTAGTAAGTAAACAATGGACTGGAAAGTCTTGTTGCTTAAGAACACATGATGATGAACAATTGTTAATTGAAAAACATGAACCTTTATTTGCTGAAGAACATGAACGTTTGCTGAAGAACACGAACCTTTGTTAGATTAAGAACACGATGAACCTTCGTAGTTGAATTTAATTTTGAACCTTCGTTAAGTAATGATCGGTGGAATAACTCTTTGTTAAGTAATGTTCACTAGGATGATAACTCTTTGTTAAGTAATGTTCACTAGGATGATAACTTTGTTAAGTAATGTTCACTAGGATGATAACTTTGTTAAGTAATGTTCACTAGGATGATAACTTTGTTAGGTAATGTTCACCAGGATGATAACTTTTCGTTCAGTACAGAATATTGTCCCTCAATTCGTCAACCGGAGTTGTTATTCAACTTGAGATTATAATGTTCTGAACGGTGCTAACCATGGGTTGTTATTGTTGTGAACGGCGTTAACCACAGCTAACACTGTTCTTGACGGCATTAACCTTTGAGAATAACAAGGAACACAGCTCTATCCATTTCCCACTTCTACTCCCCTGGCTTTCCCTTCTTCCGACCCGAAATCGAATTTCCCCTTACAAAACTAGTTTGAGTCTCACCAGAAAAGCGACCTAGCATAAACATGTTCCCAACAGGTTGAGGTGCCTGCGCATGCGCGTGCACACACGCACACCCACACACAAACATACACACACACACACACACACACACACACACACACACACACACACACACACACACACACACACACACACACACACCGTTTGGAATCCACACTTGGTCAAGCACGTCAGGAAATTAGAGAAAGTGCAAAGGTTTGCAACAAGACTAGTCCCAGAGTTATGGGGACTGTCCTACGAAGAAAGGTTAAGGGAAATTGCCCTGATGACACTGGAGGACAAGAGGGTCAGGGGAGACATCATAACGACATATTAGAGTGGTGACGTGTACTTAGCTCTGTGAAGACCTGTTTGTGTGCTCTCTGTGAATCTGAACCAGGATGCCCTCTCTTGAGCAACTTTACCAGCAGCTGAGAGAAGAG